CACACACGCACACACGCACACACGCACACACGCACACACGCACACACGCACACACACGCACACGCACACACACGCACACACGCACACACGCACACACACGCACACACGCACACACACGCACACACACACACGCACACACGCGCACGCGCACGGCGCAGGCGCACGGCGCACGCGCACGCGCACGCGCACGCGCACGCACACGCACACGCACACGCACACGCACACGCACACGCACGCGCACGCGCACACGCACACGCACACACGCACACGCACACGCACACGGGCACACGGAGGCACACGGAGGCACACGGAGGCACACGGAGGCACACGGAGGCACACGGAGGCACACGGAGGCACACGGAGGCACACGGAGGCACACGGAGGCACACGGAGGCACACGGAGGCACACGGAGGCACACGGGGGCACACGGGGGCGCACGGGCGCACGGGCGCACGGGCGGAGGCACACGCACACGCACACGCACGACCACGCACAAGCCCACGCCCACGCGCACACGCACACGCACACGCACACGCACACGCACACGCGCACGCGCACGCGCACGCACACGCACACGCACACGCCACGCACAAGCCCACGCCCACGCGCAATCGCACGCGCACGCGCACGCACACGCACATGCACTCGCACACGCACACGCACGACCACGCACGACCACGCACACGCGCACGCGCACGCACACGCGCACGCACACGCACACGCCACGCACAAGCCCACGCCCACGCGCAATCGCACGCGCACGCACACGCGCACGCGCACGCGCACGCGCACGTTGCACGCGCACGCGCACGTTGCACGCGCACGCCCACGCCCACGCCCACGCCCACGCGCATGCGACGCCCACGCCCACGCACATGCCCCACGCGCGCGCGGACGCGCACGCGCACCGCGCACGCACACCCACACGCACAAACACGCACAAACACACACGCACAAACATTTGCGTCAGGCACCCTTTGTAATGTATCCCGCACCAGTATGGGACCGGAAGCCTTTCCAGTCTTTCAGATCCTTCCACTATGATGGTGGTCTTTCTTCGTGATGAGTACTCCACGCCCGGGCACTGTCCGCTGTCAAAATCGACCAGCCATTCTTCTACGGCGTGTGCTTTTCTTTTACACACAAGGTTCCATCCTCGTGACATGATCCCTGGCGGAAGCCTGAAGCGGGCTTGGAAAAAGAAGGGATTTTCGAACGTACACGCACCTGTTGAAGAGCTTGTCAGAATCGTGCTTGCCTTCTGGTCCATCGCTGTGGCTTGGATGCTGGTTCACGTAGAACAGCGCGGCATTCGTCACTGCGAGTATTGGAAAGGCAGTATCTTGCTTTTCTTTGCTCACTTTGATTGGCAAGGCAACTCATTCCAACTCGTTCAATGTTCGTTCAGCATGCAATTTGTTTAGCTACACTGAGGCTTGCTATGACTGTTTATGTCTTTTGCTCCAGTTTCGATTTGTGCTTTCTTGCGCAGCCTTTCTTTCGTTGGCCGTGGAGTCACTTGGAACAACACAGTTCTCTTTGTCGGCAGTACTGGAGTCTGGGTAGGTGGCACTGGTGAAGTCTCCACTTTCCACTGATCGATGAGGTCTTCAAGGCCATCAGGCGGCTACAAAAGCCGCCTGCAGCCACGCAGAGCAGAGATCTTGCCAGGTGCGCCGGCAGGAGAGGCGGGAGCCACTCTTTTCCTTGGACCCAGTGGACCCGCAGAACATGGAGAAGACCATGCAGACGAAGCGCCTCCTGGCCTCGTATCCGTGGCTGGTACATCTGGTATATCTATGCCATCCATTAGAATTGCAACAAGGACATGTGGCCAAGAATTGTGTAGTGAGGGCGTCGGGTGGCTACGATGTTTTGGCCGCCCCGGCACTCAGATTAACTGGCTGTTGCCGCCAGTCCCAAGGCTATGAGCCTGAATGGCTGGCGGGCACTAGCGTGGGAGACATCATGTTCCAGGCGCCTCGCTGTGTATCACACGCGCCTGGGAATGCTCTTGAGGTTGCAAGGCGTCTGTTGAACCACCACACATGGAAGATGCGCACAACGTCACTCTAACAGACCTTGTACGCGGAGGGTTGGGGTTTCTGACAGGGAGCTGCACCCACGCTGAAGATTGCAGGCCGACTACTTCCTGAAAGAGCTGGCCTTGGGTGAGTACACCATGCCAGTGGTCGGCATGCTCAGCGTCTTTGATTGGTCCGAGGCCGACCAAATTGGAGCTAAAGGCTCGCATAGAGGCTTTTGGCTCCTGGACCTAGCCTGGTTGCGTGTTTCAATACCAGCCCTTGATTCAAGTCAGAGAGCATTGCGTCAACTTGGCGTCAAAGGCAGCAAAGCGCAGAAACCAAACCAGAAAGAGATAGAGTGCGGGAAAAGGAAGAACCAGTGCCTTTGTTGACTTGCCAGAACTTCAACGAGCACACTGTCACGTACCCTTGATTGTTGCATTGCAGTTTCGATGAGTGTACGCTTCCAGTTTGGCAAACACCGAGCAGCTTGTGTCAAGCGGCAGGGCCCCAACTCCCAAACTGTTTGGTGTCATGGAGATCGAGCCTGGCACGGGCGCGGTTTTCTTACAGTCGGTTCTTTGGAGGCTTTGAGCCTCCACCATCAGCCCTGGGCGGGCCGTGAATGGTTCGTGGTGAAGAGAGCGGAGGCGGGGTGGCCTAGGTGCCTGAGCCTGGTGACATGAAGAATGAACGGCTCCGGGGAGATTTGTGTTTTTCGGCAAGGGCGTCACTGGTTCCTGTTTTGAAAAAGGTGTCTGACTCCTTGAGTGTGCACAACGAGGAGTGCGCTGTCTTCTCGTTTTGAGGGCAACGGCTGTATTAGCTCACTTTGCCCTCTTTTGGAAGGGATCAGTTTCACGGTCCAAACGCGCGGTCCGTGCAGCGCCAGTGAGGTGCACATGGCGGAGGACAAGACCTTGATCCCATTCGTAAAGATGGGCGTTGAGGCGCCAAAGTTTGGCTCCAAAGATGTCGTGGGGGATGGCGTGGATGGCTACCCTTTTGAGACAGTACCTTGTGATTTTTGGGATCTACTGGCACGATGCGAGTGGGTCAGGCAGCTGTGGAAGCTCGTGTGAGAAGCCTAAGAAGACTTGTTCAGCATATCTCTGTGTCGGTTCATGGTCAGCCAGAACCATCCGCTTTTGTTGGCAATGTTCCGGGTTTACTGCACTGCCGAAGGGACATTCACAGATTTGGACAGCCCGGTCACACGTTTTTCCATTTGATGAACATGGTAAATGAAACAGTGAGATTGGCATAATTCCATAGGCCAGGATTAGTCAATAGTTTTTTCAATATGGCTCTGAATTTTAATAGGGAACCTCAATAAAGTGAGTGGGTGGATATGAACCCCCACCTTTCTGATGTCCACCAAAGGGTCCCCAGTTACAAACACATAGCCATATGCCTGTGGGTCACAACCAATGGTACCACTTTGGGGTAGGTGAATTCACCACCCATTTTAGAACCTATTTTAGTGGTTGGATTGGGAGGTTCACTGGGTGAGTAACCGGGCTTTTGACCCATGGCCACATGTCATATATTGTTTCTAAGGGCCCGAACAAACCCGCAATGGCCTGATGAATCAGGCAAGGACGCTTAGGTGCTCACGCATATAAAGCCAAGGCCGCCCGCGCCAGCCCGGCCGAGCCGAGCTCTCGGCCGCTGGGGACTCGCCAGGCGCGGGAGCAGGTGCTCACTGCCGATGGGCTCCGAGACACCGCCATCACCAGCGCCAGCCATCCGCTGCGCCGCTTCGCGGACGACGCTTGGCTTAAAGCGGCACCTTGTAGATGTCATGCACATATATGTGTTCATAGATATAGCACATCCATACATATTAATATACATATATATACATATATATACATGTATACATGCTCCCCCCGCCAGCAGTACTTTGAGTACTTTTGCAGTACATTGAAGCACATATGAATGGGCCTGCAGTCCATCAGGACAAGAAGCAGATGCTAAACGACACGTTTGATGAAATAGTATTCATATTACTTCCTTGAGTTCTATTCATGGACAGGATGTCTTAATTTAAGTTCTAATTGAAGATTGAACGTCCAATTGAACTCTTCCCTTATTCAATCCTTCCTGCATTGTAGTCAATGCTCATTCAACATTAGAATCCAATTTGGTATTCGGAGCCTTGAAAGGAGCTTTTATAAGGAGCTTTCCAAAGAGCTTTTCAAGGAGCTTCGTAAGGAGTCATATCAGCAGCCTTTCAAGGAGCTTTATCAGGAGGTTTGTAACGAGCCTGAAAAAGGGTCTTTACAAGCACCTGCATGAGGAGCCTTATAAGGAGCCTTACAAAGAGCTCTATAAACAGCTTCATAAGGAGTCTTGTAAGGAGCTTTCTGAAGAGCTTTATTAGGAGCTTTATGTGGAGCTTTATGAGGAGCATTATGAAGAGTCTTGTAGGCAGCTGTGCACGTCAAACTCAGCCGGAGCTTGTAAGAAATTGTATAAGGAGACTTATGAGGAGACTTACCAGCCTTAACAAGACAAGACTTCAAAGCCAAGTGTTGAATTCTAACTTAAACTTGAACATCTAGTTTAATTCTGCTTTATGCACGTATTTGAATTCTGGTAGTTATTTGTTGGTTTTGTTGCTCACTATGTCTTAGGGCTTTTGATGAGTGTCAGCTGGAAGGACCGAAAGAACTCGAGCTTGTTTGTTTGTTTGTTTGTTTGTTTGTTTGTTTGTTTGTTTGTTTGTTTGAAGGAAACGGACTAAACATACTGATCACACCAAGAAAACTCAAAGCACCTTGCAAAACTTCTCTTTGTTGAGTTGTTTTTTTCTCTTCCCCCCAGTTGTTCGTGTTCTTTTGGTTCTATTAGTTTGAGGTTTAGGTGTTTAGGTGTAGCTGTTGGTCCGACCATAGTTAAGCCATCTTTGAGGCAAAGCACAGGAGAGCGACCTTGTTGCAGATTTTATTGCGCACAGATAATATTCACCTTTGATGTTTTAGGTCGGCGTGTTCTCTGTGGCGCTACTACTTTTGCAGCAGCCGAGAACGTCATGCCATGGCCTTCACGCCTTCCTTGGTGCCCGTTATCCAACCATAATACACATATTCTGAAAATAGCCAGAATAAATATAGTAACTTGGGGGCACCAGAAAGGCGTACCATATATGCTGATATATTCACATATATACATATATATATATATATGCACGGGAATGCGAGCTTGCAGGACTCATGGTTCACCGTCGCTTCATATGCAAAACAAACTGCCGTGCGTTGAACGCGCTCTGCACAGTTCCCAGTCATTTATGTTGCCGCGCACCTGGCAACCAAAAGTCTACTGGAGCAGGACTGCATGTCGAACATCCAGTGCTAGTTTTGGCATTCCGAAGGTAATTTGGCAGAAACTTCGGGTAATTGCGGGCGAGGGGGCAAACAAAAATCTAGTGGTAATTCGGCAGTTCTGGAATTTGGATATTCGGGGTCCCGAATTTCTGCAAATGCAGGCCCCGAAGGCCCTGAAGTTCTCTGCAAATTCTTTCGACTTGCAGGATCTTTTGTGGGCTTTATGACGCCACCCTTCCACATGCAACATTGGACCGTGTTTCAGAGTCTTGCAACAAGCCCGCGCACCTCAGATTCTGGGAGCGAAAGGAGGCTAGAGAGAGCCCAAAGCTAACTTGGGCTAAGCGAAAGCGACCATCCCCAATCCATCCAGGCACTGGTCAGCCCCAGGCTTTCACGCGGAACTTCGACCTGATTGCGGAGCGGAAGAGCGTGATCTTCCACCTTCGGGAACTGGCGAAGGCCCGAAACTCCGCGAGTCTTCGCCTCCCTCCCAACTTTCCCACGAAAGTTCTGACGGGAAACCGGGGGAGGGGCAAGGGCCATGCTTTCCCCACCCGGATCAGCACCTCGGCTCTGACATGGGTATGGGTCAAAATCAAACCACCAGGGGACCGCAGGTTTTAGTCTACGTGTCCATTTGCCAGGGTTCTTTTTGGGGTACCTATTTTTGACCCATACCCACATGTTGCCTCTTTTGAAGGCCTCGGTCATGGCCAAGTTTCTGGTGGACTCTGGGGCGCAGCTGGATGACCTCTGGCACACCGTGGCCGAGGCGTCGGACTCTCCGACTCTGTGAGCATGGGCAGATGCTAGCTTTTTTGTTTGTTTGTTTGTGCTGGGTTGATATTCGTACACGGCCAAGGGGGGAAGAGGATTCATGTTGTTGAGAGGCCACAAATTGCTTTGTACTTGGTCATAAGGCAGTGATGGAAACGGAGATATACTGATCCTCACTACGTTTCTTCATATATATTTTTTGTGTGTGTGGGTCGAGTGTTCGTTCATTAAGAGGATCCAACCCTGCTGTTGCACGGTCTGTGTACTGTGTTGCTTTTTTTGTTTTGTGTGTGCTTCTTTTTTGTGTAGGTGGAGGATTCTTGTCTACTTGAGAGGACCCTCCTTTTGCCGCTTGCCTGGCTTGTGTGCTGTGTTATCTTTTTTTTGGTGTGGGTCGAGGGTTCTCTCCGTTACCTGGTTTGGGTTGTGTTAGTTTTTTGGGTTGGGCGCGGATCGAGCGTTCCCTCCTTGAGCTGATGGTGGTTGAGTGTTCCGTCCTTGCGACGATCCTAGTGCTCATGAGAGGCCTGAGGCCAAATGGAGCGGGACAACTGTCGCCGCGTGAGTGAACCAGTGTGTGGCCAGGATGCGGTGGACGTTGGCTTAAAGCGCCCGGCGCAATCTGAGATCACATGTAGGATATCGTCCAAACATTTTTGGATGGCACTTGGGGAGTGGCTTATTTGAGTGTTCTTTTTTTGGGGGCTATTTTGAAGGAAACCGAAGGAATTCCAGGAAGCCGGGCCCCAATTGGGGGGGGGTTTCATTGTTGGGACAAACCTGCAAGTTGCCCAAGGGTTTGCTTCTTTCTTTGTTTGTGCATGTGGTTGTGTGCGCTGGCCAGGAGATCGTGTCCAACACTGCCCCAGAGCCTCACTCGGAGATTCCGCAGCTGTGGAACATGCGAGGCCTCTCGCGGATCCGCCTGGAGAATGGGAAGATTGTGGACATGGAGACCGGCCCCTTGCATTTCATTCAGTGCCCACATCGCACACTGGCAATGAGGATTGGAAACCGTTGTTCGACTTGTCGCATTGAAATTCGACACGTTTTTATTGTCGCCTACACGGGCGCAATCGCAACCGGATTGAACAAAACACGAGCTAAGCCCTACCAGTGTTCTTCAACTTCTCATCCGCATGATGGGCATCGGTTGTGAACGTCGGAGCTTTGACACGTGCAAAACACGGGCAGGCAATAACCGGCTAAAAAATTGAGGCCATGGGTCAAAATCCCGTATTCCCAGTGAACATCCCAATCCCCACTAAAAAAGACTAAAATGGTGGTGCACCTACTCCAAAATGGTACCATTGTTTTTGACCCACAGCCATGTGAGCCTCAGCTAGGCACCGTCAGCAATTTGCACGCCATCTACGGCGGTGTGGAGTTTGGGCTGGATCGGTTCGAACTGGCACAGCGCCATGTAGCTCGGCTGAAAGTCAGAGGATATATTCGAAGGGAAGGCTGACAACGACTCGATCATGCACGAAGCCGAGCCAGAGAGAAAGAGAGAGAGAGAGAGAGCGAGAGAGATAGATAGAAAGATGGACAGATGGATGGATGGATGGATGGATAGATAGATAGATAGATAGATAGATACATAGATAGATAGATAGATTAGATCAGATTAGATGAAATTAGATTCGTTTAGATAGAATCGATAGATACAATAGATAGATTAGATTAGCTAGATTAGATTAGATTAGATTAGTTTAGACAGACAGACAGATAGATAGATAGATAGATAGATGGATAGATAGATAGGTAGGTAGATAGATAGATAGACATAGATAGATACATAGATGAGTATATAGTTAGATAAGATTAGATTAGATTGATTGATTTGTTTTGATTTGAGTTGACTTGGTTTCAGGTTGGGTTGGGATGTGTTGGTTTGGGTTGGGTTGGATGGGTTTGATTTGTTTTGATTCATGATTAGATTAATTGGTTGATAGATGAATAGATTGGGTTAGATTCGATTGGAACCATAGCCAAACAGACAGACAGACAGACAGACAGACAGACAGACAGACAGACAGACAGACAGACAGACAGAGACAGACAGACAGCCAGACAGACAGACAGACAGACAGACAGACAGACAGACAGACAGACAGACAGACAGACAGACACACAGACAGACAGTCAGACAGTCAGACAGACAGACAGAGACCGAGACAAAGACAGAGAGACACAGAGACAGAGAGAGAGATAGAGACAGCCACAGCCACAGCCACAGCCACAGACACAGACACAGACACAGACAGACAGTCAGCTAGCTAGCTAGATAGATAGATAGATGGATAGATAGACAGAGAGACAGACAGATAGATAAGAGAGATAGAGAGAGAGAGAGAGAGCGAGAAGAACAGTGTATTGTTTCATTGCGCGTGACCAAGGCTTTGCGGCCAGGTGTTCCAGGCATGGCCATGCAGCAAGCAGGCCTGCAGGGCCTGAGCCTTAATCAATCGACTTCGCAGCGACAGCACCCATGGAGAAGTCTTAGTTGTATCTGTGGGGCTTTTTGACGCTTGTGTCGGTGCCGGTACAGCCGTTGTAGGCAAATATTTCAGGGGATTCTCAGTTTGAGGCATGCAACTGGGCCCCAGCGGGCGTCCCATGTTCATGCCCCAGCGCTTCCAGCTCACACAGCGCGGGGAGATGCCCCAAGGCCGGCAAGCGAGCGCAGTGCACATGTCGAGCCCGGTGTCTTTTTTCTTTTTTTCCCTTTCTTTTTCTTCTTTTTATTTCCTTTCTTTTTTGTTTCTCCAAAGAGATCCAGGGGTCATGATTTTGACTGTTTCTGGGGGTTGTCAAAGTGAGAAACTGGTTGGATGTTTCCCTTTAATCCACCATTAAGGGGGTGACTTTGATCATGATAAAATATTGGGGCCAGAGATCTGACAAGAGAGGAGTGCCCTTCCGGAACTCGCGGAAAATGACGGCCCTGTGTTGGCATCTAGGATATGGACTTGGTGCACAGCCTTTCTCCGTATCCAACCAGGCTATCTACCGCTTCCATATTACCAACTCTTACAGGGCTCTGTGGAAGCATACGTACTTATCCTCAACCAAAGGGCCAAATTGCTTGTTCCTTCGGACATGCCTGAGTACATGTCATGAGCAATGTGCATTTATGCTTCACACTACAGCCAGTGGTTTCTAAATTGGGCAAACCAAAGGCCATGCTTGGAGATGACTTGCATGCTGACCTCACCCCTCTATCCAAGATCGCTGAGCAGCCGTAGCGAATACTTAAGAGCCTGAACAGCAGGGTTGTATCGAAGCAAGCAGCTACCACCACCATATTGAATTGCAATGGGGCAAGCCAGTGAAGATCTTCTACTTTCATTGTCTCATTGGCTGCACGGTCGTGGGCAAGGCAGCACCTCTCCAGCTTCTGTCTTTGTGCTGATCAAGCCCTTGACATTTTCATGCCCAGGGGCGCAAAGCAAGACGGGCACACATCAATATGTGACCAACCTGTTGAAGCAACCTTGGAAGCAGTCGTCCTCCTTCCTCTGACTAGAAAAGAGTTGCTGCAAGCAGCAGCAGCAGCAACAAGAGCACCAGCACTAGCAGCAGCACGACAACGGCAACGGCAACAACAGCGGCATGCAGCTGCCTACTCTCCCAGACACGTCTTGCAAGTGAATTGTAGCAACAGCTTGCTCAAATTAATGCCTGTCTTACATCCTGCCGCAGAGAGAAAGCCACAGCGGCTTGCGTCGGGTGGGACTAAAAGCAAGACATTGTGATACTTTGCTTTATTCATTTGCTGTCAGCGTTGTTGACCTCATAACTTGTTTCACCCAACCTTCATCGGTCTTATGTCAGCCTTGCCTGCCTCGTTTGCAGGTGTG